ACACGCACACATGCCTGGCGTGAGTTTAAGCCACTGGGTCCGGGACTCGAACCGTGGTCAAAAACATGGGAGTCCAGCGACAGAGCCATTACGCCAACTGCTGGTCCTGAAAGATGATCTCTAAACCATCTGTGAGGACAAGTACTTCCTAATAGCCTAATTGGCAGACACACTGTTAATAAAGTTGTAGGGAGTCTTGCTGCCGGTGTCACTGAGGCCGGCACGTGAGGAGGACTGACCGTGTGAGAGATCTGAGCTGCGTGTTCTGCACGCTCTCCCCTTTTCTTAGCATCATAAGTCATTGTGCTCATTCGCCACATGAAAGAATGGAAGCTTAAGATTACGGAGGAACTTGCCTACATGCACAGAGATAACCGAGTATGGAGCTAGAGTCTGAATCCTAGGCTGATGGATTCCAAAACATATTTGTTTAAGCTCTATTATTTAATTATTGGCTCATTTTGGAGAGTGAAGGTCTGTGTAAAAAAATAATCAGATGTGAACCACAGGTCTGGAATTTGTGTGTGTGTGTGTGTGTGTGTGTGGTTTTTTTTTTTGTAGAGATTTTTACTATAGGGTGTGTGTGCTCACCAGACAGAGAGAGACATAGAGACAGAAAGTGAGAAATCACCCCCCAGGGGGGATGACCATGCCACAATCCCTTCTCCTCCATTCTCCTTTCGGGATCTTGGGCACGCACGCACACGCGCCCGGCATGAGTTTTAAGCCACCGGGTCTGGGACGCAAACCGCGGTCGACTACATGGGAGTCCAGCAACAGAGCCATTACACTGCTGGTTCCCTGGAATTGGTGTTTTGACAATAAAAGTTCACTCAATAGCTAGAGAATAGAAACAAGTTACCAATACACAAGCTATGATGTCCAGATAACACAAATTGAAAGTGTTTCTTTGTGTAAGTGTAGACCCCTGTTCTCCAACCTACCTGCACATTAGATTAATGGGAAGAACACTGAAAAATATGTCAGTACCCACGGGGGCTCTGAGCACTGTATTATTTGACAGCTCCCTGGGTTATTCTAAAGTACAGCCAGGGTTGAGAACTGGTGATATGGAAATAAAGGTTTTAGAATTATATTTTGATGAGTTTTCCCATGTAGCCCAAGTTATCAGGCAAGGGTAATAGCTATTCATTAAACACTTGCAATGCCCTAGGCTTAATGTATTATATAGTGATACCCTGAAGTATTTACTATATTTTAGATTACCTAGAGTTAAAAGATTAGTTTATAGGGGCCAGCAACTGGTGTAGTGGTTATGACACTGGACGCCTACGTGGCCGACTATGAATTGAGTCTTGGACCTGGTAGCTTGAAATTCATACTGGGTATATGTGCGTGCATGTGCAAAATCCCAGGGGAGAATAGAAGAGAAGGGATTGTGGCATTGCCACCTCCCCAACCCCCCACAGGGTGATTTCTCACTTTCCCTCTCACTGTCTCTTTTTCTCTCTGGTGAGCACACATACCCTATGATAAAAACCTTAAAAAAAAGTAAACAAAGATAAGTATACATATTTTCAGGTATTCCAAATACAAAATTCGATGTGTAAAAATGACCTGTTTACCTGTAAGTGATTTAGAATAATACAACTTTTGTAGACAAACAAAAACCTCTGGAAAACATCTAGGTAAATTTAATTTTCCAAGAATAAAAAGTTGATGTTTTGTAAAATCCTGGCTCTTTCTTTTAAACTATCTTGTGATTTTGTTTGTTTGTTTGTTTGTTTAAGAGAATCAAAATGGGACCAGCGGTTGATATAATGGCTATGTCTCTGGACTCCCATGTAGTTGACCACAGTTCGAGTCCCAGACCCAGTGGCTTAAACTCACCCCGGGTGTATGTGCGTGCGTGCCCAAGATCCCAAGAGTAGAATGGAGGAGAAGGGATTGTGGCATGGCCACAATCCTGGGGAGGGATTTCTTGCTTTCTCTCTCTTTCACTCTTTCTGGCTAGCACACGTGCCTTATAGCAAAAACCTCTCTAAAAAAAAAAAAAGAGAGAGAGAGAGAGAGAATCAAAATGATGTTTTGACAATTCATGAAAATTTTTCATTTCTTTCTCTCTCTCTCTTTTTATTTTTTCCTTCCAGTTTTTGCTATAGGGCATGTGCATTTGCTGGAGAGAGCAAGAAAGTGAGAAAGAACCCCTCCCCCACAGAGGATGGTCACACCACAGTCCTTTCTGCCATTCTCCTCTCCAGATTTTGGGCATGCATGCACACGCGGTCAGGGAGCTTCAGGTTCAAACCACGCATTTGACCAGGTGGGATCCAGCCATTTTTACCACTCTGCCACCAAGTGGTCTGAAAATTTTCCATTTCTACCATCGTAGTAAAAGAAAATATTTGGTCATTTAGTACAAAGTTGTCATGTAAGGCCAGAAGATGGTGTGGTGGTTAGGGCACTGGACTCCCACATGGACAACCAGGGTTCAAGTTCTGGACCCGGTGGCTTCAATTCTCTTTTTTTCTATGTCTCTCGTAGGCACATGTGCTCTATAGCAAATTAAAAAGAAAAGGTAATAATAAATAAAATTAGAGGAATCATTCTTTTAAAAACACACAACAAAATATCCATGTAGATGCTTAACCCTTCTAATTTATTTTTATCATTCTCCTACCTCTTTTTGTTTTTTCTTTGTCTTTCTTTTTTTTCTTTTTTTAATTTTGGAGTTCTCCTACATCTTAAACCAGGCAGAATTTTTTTTTAGAAATTATTTTATTCAACTTTATTTATTGATTTATTTTAGTTTGACCAGAGAAGGACAGAGTGAGAAAAAGAGAGAGAGAGAGGGTAAGTGAGAAAGCAAACTGCCAGGTCCAGGACTCGAACAGTGGTCAGCCATATGGGAGTCCAGCACCCTTAACTATCATGCCCCCTGCCAACCCCAAACCAGGCAGAATTAACTGTATTATCTTGCCTTAAGCAGTTTCTGAAAAGCTGAGTGTGTTCGAACTATTTTTTAAAATTTCAAAATATTCTCCTACTGTTATTCTCTAAAGCTGAGATTCCTGGTTGGTCTTGGGAAAAATATCTTAAAAAAAAAAAAAAAAAGTAGTAATTTCCCCCCCTCCAGGAGACATTTGCGAATATCTGGGGATGTAAGTTGATTGTCACAACCAGAGGAGAGAGTTTGCTTCTGGCATCTGGGGGGCAGAGGCCAGGGATGCTGGTGAACATTCTGCAACGCGCAGAACAACTCCCCACGGCAAAGAATTATCCAGTTCAAAATGTCAAGAGTGCTGAACTTGAGAAATACTGCTCCAAAGTTATTACTTTTACCCCTTAGGAATTCAGATATTTTCCTGCATTTGGCTTGCTCAGAGCCCTTGTATAAATAATTCCTATGTGAAATGATAACAATTAAAATACTGCTCTTGTTCCACCAGATTGATCCCAAGTCCTCTCTGCCTTGAAGGCAGGGCATACAGATCATTGCTAAGCTGTATTTAAAGTCTGCCTCAGTGCCTCATACATGAGGCTAATGACACGGGAAGTTTGGTCGTGATGAGGGAGATCTGAGCTCCTGAAGACTTCACGGGCCAAAAGAGAATTCTTCACATTCACCTGAAAGAATAAAGAGACTTGACTTCTTTTTCCTGGTTTAGATAATATTATACATTTGTATTGATTAAGTATAATTTTTATTTTGTAAGCTTAACTTTTTTTATAGACTGGTTTTGTCACTCCTCTTTATAATACGCACTTTGGGACCAGCAGGTGGCATAGTGGTTGAGGTGTTGGACTCCCACATGGCCGACCACTGTTCAAATCCCAGACTTGGCAGCTTGAAACTCACACCGAGCACAAGTGTGTCCATGCCCAAAATCCCCGAGAGGAGAATGGAGGAGATGGGATTGCAGCCATCCCCCTTGAGGGTTATTTCTCACTCACTCTCTCAGTGTCTCTCTGTGGCTAGCGCTGGCACCCTATAGCAAAAATCTGTCTTAAAAAAAAAAAAAATCCACCTTAACCGGGGTGTAAATGTCCATGAAAATGAAAGTTAACTAAATTACCGCATGAAAGTATTTTTCCAAGCCTCATGTCATCCTTTATGACTAAGCTCGGTTGGTTGGAAATAAACGGAGGATTTCGGAGTTTGAGGATTTGTGTGTGGGGTGTGTGGGATGTGTGGGGTGTGTAGGGATCTACCTGTAGGTTTATCTGCTTAACACCCCTCTTCCAGGAAATCATTTATCATTCTCCTACCTCTTTTTGTTTTTTCTTTGTCTTTCTTTTTTTTCTTTTTTTAATTTTGGAGTTCTCCTACATCTTAAACCAGGCAGAATTTTTTTTTAGAAATTATTTTATTCAACTTTATTTATTGATTTATTTTAGTTTGACCAGAGAAGGACAGAGTGAGAATAAGAGAGAGAGAGAGGGTAAGTGAGAAAGCAAACTGCCAGGTCCAGGACTCGAACAGTGGTCAGCCATATGGGAGTCCAGCACCCTTAACTATCATGCCCCCTGCCAACCCCAAACCAGGCAGAATTAACTGTATTATCTTGCCTTAAGCAGTTTCTGAAAAGCTGAGTGTGTTCGAACTATTTTTTAAAATTTCAAAATATTCTCCTACTGTTATTCTCTAAAGCTGAGATTCCTGGTTGGTCTTGGGAAAAATATCTTAAAAAAAAAAAAAAAAAGTAGTAATTTCCCCCCCTCCAGGAGACATTTGCGAATATCTGGGGATGTAAGTTGATTGTCACAACCAGAGGAGAGAGTTTGCTTCTGGCATCTGGGGGGCAGAGGCCAGGGATGCTGGTGAACATTCTGCAACGCGCAGAACAACTCCCCACGGCAAAGAATTATCCAGTTCAAAATGTCAAGAGTGCTGAACTTGAGAAATACTGCTCCAAAGTTATTACTTTTACCCCTTAGGAATTCAGATATTTTCCTGCATTTGGCTTGCTCAGAGCCCTTGTATAAATAATTCCTATGTGAAATGATAACAATTAAAATACTGCTCTTGTTCCACCAGATTGATCCCAAGTCCTCTCTGCCTTGAAGGCAGGGCATACAGATCATTGCTAAGCTGTATTTAAAGTCTGCCTCAGTGCCTCATACATGAGGCTAATGACACGGGAAGTTTGGTCGTGATGAGGGAGATCTGAGCTCCTGAAGACTTCACGGGCCAAAAGAGAATTCTTCACATTCACCTGAAAGAATAAAGAGACTTGACTTCTTTTTCCTGGTTTAGATAATATTATACATTTGTATTGATTAAGTATAATTTTTATTTTGTAAGCTTAACTTTTTTTATAGACTGGTTTTGTCACTCCTCTTTATAATACGCACTTTGGGACCAGCAGGTGGCATAGTGGTTGAGGTGTTGGACTCCCACATGGCCGACCACTGTTCAAATCCCAGACTTGGCAGCTTGAAACTCACACCGAGCACAAGTGTGTCCATGCCCAAAATCCCCGAGAGGAGAATGGAGGAGATGGGATTGCAGCCATCCCCCTTGAGGGTTATTTCTCACTCACTCTCTCAGTGTCTCTCTGTGGCTAGCGCTGGCACCCTATAGCAAAAATCTGTCTTAAAAAAAAAAAAAATCCACCTTAACCGGGGTGTAAATGTCCATGAAAATGAAAGTTAACTAAATTACCGCATGAAAGTATTTTTCCAAGCCTCATGTCATCCTTTATGACTAAGCTCGGTTGGTTGGAAATAAACGGAGGATTTCGGAGTTTGAGGATTTGTGTGTGGGGTGTGTGGGATGTGTGGGGTGTGTAGGGATCTACCTGTAGGTTTATCTGCTTAACACCCCTCTTCCAGGAAATCATTTCCCCAGCCGACTTGATGCAACTCTTGTCATGTCTGTGCTTTGTGTTCTTTTCATTCCCCCTCAATTATTTGGTCTAAAGCCAGGCACCTAACCCAAGTGGGATCAACCAGAGTTCTTTCTCCAGGGTTTTGAAACTCAAGACCCAAGGGTGTGGGCCGTAATGAAACTCGCAAGGCCTCCATGAGGATCCCGCCACTATGCGTGTTTCCTGCCATGTGGAGGACACCAGGTGTGCAGGAGAGCAGGTGGACGCCTGAGATGGAAAGGCAGGGTGGCCTCTGCCCTTTTCCCAGTTAGTCCTCAGGTCCTCCCATGGCGTCGGTGAGAAGACTCCCCAGATCCTTCTAACTTTCTCTACTTAAACCAGTTACAGTTCAGTTTCAATGACTTGTAGCCAAGAGAGTCACGACAACCCAGTGTCCTTACCTGAAAAGGAAACCCTCAAGCTCCCCACACACAGACGCTGCCAAAAGAAAATAGAACCAAAACCCTCAGGAGGGGGTTCCTGGTAATTAGCTTAGATTGCAACAAATGGCGTACACAGACTGTTGGCTCTGCATGTGTGCTCTAAGATTGGTGTTTACCCTATTATATTCCAATTTACGAATGTCATAAAGTGTATCAGTGAGCGAATGGAAACGAGCAAGAACACAAATATGGGGGGTGAGAGGTGTGTGCCTTGATGGAGCGATTCTTGAGACTTAAAAAAAAAAAGAATTACTTTCATTGTGTTGATAGTGAAGGGGGTACAACCCTATTCCTCACTTAAACTTGGTGTTGGTCGGGTATTTTTAGCAAATGAGTTGTCAGCAGAAAGGCTTCATTAGACCCATCAGGATATCTGCCCATGAAAAACGAATCCCAAACTGTACTGACAGTTTCCTTGAGCCAAAATGATGAAGCACCTCTGACAAGAGCCATATTGTGCTCCCCATGTGAGGAGCGTGAGGAACAAAAGAGACAGTTTGATCTTCATTTGGTCAGGTTAATATTGACACAGCTTAGAAACATCAGAAGTGTGTGATATACATGTACAGCAACCACTCTGGAGGTTTAGCTGATGGTTTCCATAAGTCAAAGTGGAACCCAGAAAAAGAAATAAGGTCTCCTCCCTTCTTGAAATAATGTTCAAACTAGATCATTTATTTTTACAAAATAAATAAATAAAAGAGAGCCAAATTGTTAAGGAAATAATGGCTTGTTCTAGTTTATTTGGGAGCTAGAGTGTTGCCCAGTTCTACCATTTCAAAATTAAAGCGTGCCTGGGGCCAGCAGGTGGTGTGGTGGTTAAAGTGCTGGACTCGCACATGACTGACCAGTTTTGGTCCCAGACCTGGTTGCTTGAAATTCATGCCATGTGCAGATGTGTGCATGTCCCAAATCCCAGGAAGAGAATGCACAAGAGGAGACTGCAGCATGGCCATCCCGCCTACTAGATGATTTCTCACTTTCCCTCGCACTTTCTCTCTCTCTGTGTCTCTCCAGCAAACACACGTGCCCTAGGGCAACAACCTGGGTGGGGAAAAGAATTAAGGGGCCAACAGGTGGCATGGTGGTTAAGAGTGCTGGACTCTCACATGATCCACCAGTCCCAGACCTGGCAGCTTGCGTTCTTACTTTCTCTCTCTCTCTGTCACTTCGTCCCTCTCTGGTCAAATGAAAATAAATAAAAATAAAGTTAAATAAAATAATTCCTAAAAAAATTAAAATAAATAAGTAAATAAAGCATGCCTAATATATGGGTTTTCCATTACCCATGTACCTTGTGTTATTTGTTCCCATAATGAAACACTTAAAAACATATGGGGGGGCAGCAGGTGGCGTGGTGGTTAAGGTGCTGGACTCTCACATGGGCAACTGCAGTTTGAGTCCCAGACTGACAGCTTGCCTTCTCACTTTCCCTCTCTCTCACTGGTCAACTTTAAAAAACATAAACATAAAAATATTAAATAATTAAAATAATTCTTTGAAAACAAAATATATATAAACAAAAAAGAAGCCCTTGAGGAAAACAAAAATCTAGCCCTTTCTTTACCAAGTCCTTAAATCTATACTGTAGAGGAAAATTGGGGTGATTCTGGGTCTCTCCATCAGGATAATGTAAATTAGCCTGAGCTAGTTAATGAGGTGATGACTTATTTGTCTTTAATTGGTTGTAAACTTCCCTCATCCAAGTATTTAATCTACTACTAACTGCTATGAGAGCCTGCCTAGGACCACTATTTTATGAAGTAGAGTAGTTCAGCGTCTTTGTCCAGGGCCACATCTGTGCAGGTGGAGGATCAGCCCTTTATAAGGGAGACAGGGAGGATGGGGCAGTGACTTAACTCACTCACTTCCATGTGGCCTGACAAACTCGCTGCATTTCAGGAAGTTCTTAACTTAAACCTGTGCTTTCTGATGAGCTAACTCCCAACTCTCTCTCTCTCTCTCTCTCTCTCTCCCTTTCTCCCTCCCCCCCTCTCTTCATTACTGATATGGTTATAGGAAATAATAGTTATTTGTCCCATGACATGAAAGCAGTGCTTGTCAGTTGTCAATAAACATGGAATCTCCTCCTCTACTCTTGAATTCTTCAACCCAAGCGAGGGCCTTACAGGAGCTTTCCTTCCTTTAATACTTAGGGTATGCTTGATCTAAATTGAAGCATCTGAAGACTGATGACAGCATTGTCGTTGTCTTTGATAATGGTGCTTTAACTAGGGAACTTTACTCTTGTAGGCTTCTCCCATTAAGACTTTTCTACTTGGTTAGAGAAAAGAGCAAAAATGAAATGAAACTTCTGTAGTCCTTCTACCCCTTGTAGAAATCCTAATTTCTCGTTCGTTTTCTGTGGGCTTTTGAACAGGAGAGAAGTAATGGAGCCAGCAGGTGGCATGGTGGTTAAGGGTGCTGAACTCTCACATGGCCGACTGCAGTTTGAGTCCCAAACCTGGCAGCTTGGTTTCTCACTTTCTCTCTCTCTCTCTGTCCTTCTCTGGTCAAATTAAAATAAGTAAATAAATAAAGTTAAATAAAATAATTCTTTTTTAAAAAAAGAAAGAGCAACCAGCTCCTTAAAAGGAAGAGGAAGAGGAGAAGTAATGTTGGAAGCAACTTTAGATAATGAGATGTTTACATATTGGATAGTAAAGTGGGATTCTTCTATCATTTGTGTGTCTAGGTTACCAGGACAAACAAAACCACACGAAGGTAATTCTGGACAACCTCTCCTCCATCCTGCCTTGTAAACAGGTGCATAAGGAACTTTCCAAAATCACACATTGCTGCAAGAAAATCACCTTCTTTATAAGAATTTCTTTGAGCTTTCAATTTTAGGCTCTTGCATGTAATTAATGATTATCCTACCTTTATATTTTATAGAGTAGATGAGAAACTGAATTTACTTATAAAACATGATAATATTGGACTGTCAAAAAATTTAAGCAGCATATTATTAGTGGTTGCCAAAATCAGGGATGTGACTTGCTTGCATATGGGAACAAGGAGAATCAACAGAAGTCAATGAAATAATAAAATACTACTTTTCTGTTAAGTTGAAAACTGGAGTCAGGACCTGCAGATGGCATTGTGGTTACATTGCTGGACTCCCATGTAGTCAACCATGGTCCCAGACATGGTGGCTTGAAACTCACGCCGGGTGTGTATGCGTGTGAGCCCAAAATCCTAAGAGGGGACTGGATGAGAAGAGATTGTGGCATGGCCATTCCATTCCTCCTGGGGGGTAATTTCTTGCTTTCTGTCTCTCTGGCAGGTGCACACACCCTTTGGCAAAAATGTCTCTAAAAACAAAACAAAACAAAACAAAAACTGGGGTCAGCCACAGTAGCATGGGTGACACAATGCTCTGTGATGCTGATGCTGTATGAGAAGTCCTGAGGTTTCCTTGAGCAGGTGGGGTACGTATGTACGTGCTTCTGATCCTGGCAGGCTGAGGCAAGGGTAGGAAGGCAGCGAGAAGATCCTGTTGGGAGTACTTCTCTCTTCCTCTCTATGTGTCTCCCTCTCTCTCGGAAGAAATAAATTGCTTTTAGAAAAGTAGGAGCAGGCTGTGGCATATTGGTAGCACAGCTGAACCGACATGGGAACAGTGCCATGTTCAAGTCCCGGAACCTCCCTGCGCATACCAGGCATGTGGGTGTGCCCTTGATTAGGTCAGCTGAAACTAGGCATGCCTGTCTTTCTTTATTTCTCGTTGTCTCTAAAACATGGCTGATCACAGTTCAGGCTATTTCTCATGAAAGAACAAAACAGACTTTAAAGAGAAAAAAATCTAAAGCAATCAGTAATATTTTTGGTGGTGAAAAATCTTGTCATTTAAGAATAATGTAGGAATTAAAAAGGCTCTGAAGTCAGACGAACCTGGGTTGG